AATCCCATTTTGTTAAGTGTATATTACCCAACAATTGTTCATTTTTTAAAAAAAATTGATTCATTCTTGAAAGTGAATTCCATTTTAAATAACATTTTGAATCAATGGAATGACAAATCGGATTTGTGTCTATTAATACCTTGTTAGGAATTTGTCCTAAAAAATGTCCATGATTAATACAGGTTGAATGCCGTGAAAAATAATGGGATGAGTAGGGATGATAGGAAATTGTCCGTATTGTCCATGTTGTCCAACTTAGGAATATTAGGGTTTATTTGGTACATTTCCCTATTTTGTCCAGTTTTACCATATTTTAAACAACTGGTAATTACTCATTATCCTATTTTTATTTTACCAGTTATTGCGGCAGATGTCTAAAATTTATGTTTCAAATCATTATTCGGGATTTTGAACTAATATTATGAGGAAATCCTAACTTGGACAAGTTGGACAAGTTGGAAATATATTAATTTATCATTATCTCCCGTTATTTGGCTCTGCAATTATTTATTATATTTGTTGGACATTTTCGTGGACAAAAATTGAACAAAGTATTTTTAGTCTCATTCATTTCCAAGAATACCATTTTTATGGTTTCTTTTACAATAGTTGCATAAATTTGAGGAATCCAATCATCACACTGGAGTTATCTTTCTGAGATCGCCCAATCAGATGCAGTTCTTGTCTCTTGGAATTATCCACAAGTGGAACAACTATAGTTCATTTACTACAAAGTACTAGAATGCCTCCATTCGTATTGTCTCATACCACTTATTCATCCAAAACAGCCAATCAAACATTTATTTTCAATACTACAACTATAGTTCATTTACTACAAAGTACTAGAATGCCTCCATTCCAACAATCATCACACTAGCGTCGATCTCGGATTTCGCAGTTCGCGGACTACTTATTCCGATCTCGAATCTCAGTCGACAACATCAATGAGCAGCAGCAAAGCGGACACAAGCAACAGCAGAGGAGGACGCAGCAACAGCAGGGGAGGACGCAGCAACAGCAGGGAAAGAAGCAGCAGCAGGGAAAGAAGCAGCAGCAGGGAAAGAAGCAGCAGGGGAGAAGGCAGGAAAGAGCATCATCTTCTTGATGATGAAGACTACGTTATTTACTATGATAGGTTCCCGAAGAAAATTGATTTAAATGAAGATTATTATGATGATGATTATGATGAGTCTCAAGAGCAAGAGCAAGAAGAACATCCTGGAATGGAACTGGTGACGTTCCAAAATAAAGACGGGACAACCCACGAAGCTTGGATTTAATTAATTTCCAATTTTAATTTTTGTTTTAAACAATCATTTGTAATTTCTTGTAATTATAGTATACTAATAGTTCGATATACTAGTAATTTAACACGAATAAAAATAATAGGTAATTGTATTAAGTAGAATTGTTCTAATAATTCCCTCTTTTTTTCTTACTATTTGTTATAGTTTCATTTACCACAGTTACATCGAATTGAGAATCCAATTTTCACACAGGAGTTATTTTTCTCGATCATAAAATCAGATACAGTTGTTGTCACTTAGAATTATCCCAGAATGGAATACACCCCAGTGCCAACAGTTATCATCGACAAGAACTACACCGTAATCACAATCAATAAAAACAAAATGACTATTAAATCCCCAATTGTGTTTGTGTCAGAAAACAATTCGTTCGAACCAAAAATCGTCATATGGATCAAGGAAAGCATAAACAAAATCTTTCTGAAAGCGAGACATGAAACGAAGGAAATATATTTAAAATTTGTCTGTATTTGCGAGGAACGAAAGGCATTTCTGAATCGCATTTGGAAATATAAGCACGGGAATATCATTGATATCCTTGGTGTGTATGATACAAACCACTACTCTAGTAACAATCTTGTTGCAGAAGCAAACTATGGGATAGCAATGGAATGTGGCACACCACTCCGTTGTATTTTAGAAGGGAAGAAATACATCAGAGATATAATCTGTGGAATCATGTTTCTTCATGAGCAAGGAATTGTTCACATGGACATCAAGCCCGACAATGTTGTTGTTGTGAATGGGATTGCTAAGATCATAGACTTTGAGCTTGCACGCGCACTTGGGAAGAATGAACACTTCAATAGCATTAGCTGCACAAGAATATACCTTCCCGAATCAAAAACACAGCGAGGAATGTGTTATGGGTCTGA